AAAAAGTGTGCCAACTATAAGAAGGATTTTCAATAAATAGCAGCACAAAGTCATGCCTGGGTGGGGAGCCTGCCCGGTGGCATCCCTTGACCAGCCCTGTCACTAGGCTTGCCGCACAGTCCACTGCCTGAGTCTGGGGCCTCATAGCACCTTGCAGCCTTGCCCTACCCTCTGGCCTTGGTTCTGAAGACTAACAAGAGGAGCAAAAGACAGGGGTTCCCACACGCAGCTATGTGTTGGGGTCACCTGTGGAGTAAGATCCCAGGTCCCCAGGCCCCTGCAGTCTTGCCCAAGCCCAGTCTCATCCACGTTGCCTCCAGCCTGGGCTGACCCTGCTGGACTAGATATCCCCCCAGCTACTCTGGCCCTTGGGGGTAACCAGGTCTGTGGGCAGTACATGATGGTCTGCTGGGGTGTCCATGCAGAGGGCAGCTCCAGGCCAAAGGGCCCAGGCATGTGCTGTGGTCGCTGTCAACTGAGGACACTCACAGACCCCCTGGTGGGCCACACAGCACATCTACTCTTCCTACCCTCTCTGTATGGCTATGGTCAAAGGCCCATTTTACAGAGGGAGAGATAGGCCCAGATAGAGCAAGCGACAGCCCAGGACTTACAGCCCGTTGGAGGTGGAGGCTGGGTGGGTCCTTGCTCCCACTTGTGTCTCTGCTGAGGCCAGCACTAGGGTGGGGCTGGCTGTCCAGTGGGAGAAGAGCCCTCTCCTTCCTGTGGATTGGGCATACCACTGCTGCATGGCATGCTCTGTCTGACTCAGAGCCCACCTGCTGCCCCTGCCCAGTGCCCACCGAGCCCAGTGCCCACCTGCAAGACACATGTGCTGGGAGGCCCCATGTGGAGGGTTGGGACACAGAATGGATAAACCTGGACTTGCTTCTGAGGAGCTCAGGGACTTGGGTGCTGTGACCAAGTGAAGGATGCCCAGCCCTGCTGCACTGTGGGAGCCCTGACAGGTGGGCTCCCACTGCCTGCGAGGTCAGGGGGTTTCCTGGAGGAGGGGACACCTGAGCTGACAGCAGTGAGTGTCTGTAGATGAAGCAGAATCTTTCTTTCCTTCTGCACATTCCGGCCTCTGCCTGACAACTTCCATTTGCTGCTCCAGGCCCCTCTTTTTGGGGGGCGGGGTGGGGAACCACCCTGACTCCCAGCACTGTACCTTTGTGCCGCCCGTCATAGCACCTTGAGAGTTGTCACCATAGGTCTATGGGGCTGTTTTTCTTATGGGCCTGGTGCTCAAGGGCTGAAAATGATTCTGCTTCACCTGTGCTGAGCAGAAGCCTCAGTCTCCTCCTCTTGGGGGATGTAGGGAGGGGGACCCTGATAATCCTGCCCTGAAGTCGGCTGTGAACTGCTGCACTCTGCCTCAGTGTCCTCCATTAGTCCAACTGCTCAGGAGCCAGCCGTCCTTCTCTGGGAACTTTTACTGGCCTGTCCAAATTGGTGGCAGTCCCCAACAAGGCCCTTGGACCTTACCTCAAAGTTGACATGTCCGTTGGGAAGGCGGTTGGCACAGCCCTCATTAAGGAAGTAGATGTCTTTGATGAGCAGGCTGAAAAAGGGAATGACGATCTGGAAGGGAGAGGTGCAGGTCAGTCCTCAGCTGGCTTCTCCACAGAGACACCTGCCCAGGGCCCTCATTCACTACCCAGGAAGCAGAGTGTAGGAGACACTTCCCGGCAAGCCTGGCTGGCTCAGGCTCCAGGAGTTAGAAGGTTGAATACTGTGTACCATGAGGGGCAATGTGGAAACCACAAAGAAAGGAGGTACATGCCCCCTAACTCTGGGGCCAGACTGTGTTTGAGTCCTCTCAGGCCTCATCAGATGCCAGTGCTGACTGAGCTCCTGCTGTATACAGTGCCATTCCCCCTGCCCCCTTCCCCGCATCTGGAGGTCCACAGACTCAGGCCTCCCGACTCACGTGCACTGGGAGGATGGGTCCATACTGCACACACCATTAAATACATGTGGAACAGATGTGAATCTTTTGTTTTCAAATTTTGTGGCCTCTTTTTAAAAAATATTTAACAATGTGTAGTCCTATGTCTTTCTTGATGCTAAAGATACAATCCTGATGCATGTATGGTGAGACCAAAGTGAAGCATCCCTGCTCCACTTCCCAAAGGGAAAAACTTATGAATCCCCCTGTGAAAGGCTAGGGTGTGTGTCACTGTGTGGGATGGCCCAATCCTCCCCCCGCTCTGTGCACCTGCTGACTGCCCCTTCCAGGTAGAGGGAGATCCACTGCTGACAGCTCAGACCGCCCTTGGGGAACTCAGCTGAGGCTACCCTGCAGTTTCGGGTTGAATTGTGTCCCCCACAAAGGTATGTTCAAGTCCTAAATCTCGGTGCCTGTGTATGTGACCTTATTTGGTTACAGCCTTTGCTGATGTGATCAAGTTAAGATGAGGTCATACTGCATTAGAGCAGGTCCTAATTCA